CGATCCAACAGCCCCTCACCCCCCCCCCAAAAAAAAGAAAATACCCTCAAATGATGGCTCGCTTACGATTGGCGAGTTTGTAGAAGAAACGTCCCTCTATAATCCAGTATTTCACTCGCGCACACCCACGTGTGTAGATCAGAGGTCGCAAACGGGTTTTGATTCCTTACCCGTACCCGTACCCGGCCGCACCAGGGTTGCAATCGGGTACCCGTACCCTACCCGATACCCGGCTACCCGTACCCGGCCGGGTATCGGGTAGGGTACAGGTATCGGGTACCCGATTGCGACCTCTGGTGTAGATCAACTCCGCAGGTACGCACCCCCCCCCCCCCTGCACAGACACACACACACACACAGCCCCCTGGGATGTTGCCACGAGCAACGATACGGTGCCTAGGAGATGTTGACTACCTCGCCTGGTCTACAGGAGGTCGTGGGATCGATCCACACCCTTACGATGCCTGCTGCTGCTGTATATTTGGAGTTTGCGTCTCTCTCTCTCTCTCATCATCAGCATCACGGTGGCTAGGAGATGTTGACTACCTCGCCTGGTATGCAGAAGGTCGTGGGTTCGATCCACACAATGACGATGCCTGCTGCTGTATATTTGGAGTTTGTGTCTCTCTCTCATCATCATCACGGTGGCTAGGAGATGTTAACTACCTCGCCTGGTAGTCAGGAGATCGTGGGATCGATCCGCACCCTGACGATGCCTGCTGCTGTATATTTGGAGTTTGCATCTCTCTCTCTCTCTCATCATCATCACGGTGGCTAGGAGATGTTGACTACCTCGCCTGGTATACAGGAGGTCGTGAGGTCGATCCCGACACTGATGAAGCCTGCTGCTGCTGCTGCTGCTGTATATTTCGAGTCTACGTGTCTCTTTCTCATCATCAGCATCATCGCCACGGAAAGAGACAAAGGCGGCCGGGAGGATGCGGTGCCGGACACACCACCCCCTCACGTGTCACCGTGCCGGCCTTCATTGTCGTTTATCCAATAGCGCATCCCCAAAAGCCCTGGGATATTGCCTCGTGTCCCTCGCCAACCCCCCCAAGGAAGTCCCCAACTTTCCCCAAACCCCCCCCCCCCCCTCCCACGACTCTCACCCATCTTTCCTCCTCACTCGCCACCAAGTCTCCGTGCTCCTCTCGACGACCTCGGCAAGAAGCTCTCCCCGGCAGAGAGAGACCTCCCACGGAGCCGTCTGTGTCACGTCAGCCGTGGCCCTGAATGTGTCTCCAGACGAGGAGGAGGTGGTGGAGCTGGTGGTGGTGGAGGTGGTGGTGGAGGTGGAGGTGGTGCTGGTGGACGAGGTGCGGCCATTGGGGAGACGAGGGGCTGGCTCCTGTAGGGGGTATTGGAAGGGACCATCATTATAATCATCACTACCATCATCATCACTACCATCATCACTACCATCATCATCACTACCATCATCATCACTACCATCATCACTACCAACATCATCATCACTACCATCATCATCATATTCATGGACCCCCATCCACTGTTCCGTCACTATGTAGTCCAGCAGATGTTGTTGCTTGGACCCGGCATGCATCCATGATGTTGTGTGGATGCGCCACTGCCGGAACAGCGTGTTGGTAATTACAAGCCCATGGGCTGCACAAAAATCTAGCAGCCTCCTACCGTTGTTATTGAGCTGATCTGGCCCATGCCTTTCAATCACTGCAGACCAGGTGCCAGCATCATGACCAACTCGGGCATTGAAGTCACCCAACAGGATGACTCTATCCCGAGGGGCCACTTTAGCCAGCACCTGTGACAGGAGATCATAGAAGGCATCTGACTCATCGGCATTGCCTGCATCCCTCCACGGATGTTCGTCTTCGGTGGGGGCATAGGTAACCACGACCACCACTCCTCGCCTCTGCTTGATGGGAAGGCGAGCCCAAAGTAGCCTGGGGCTTACAGCTTCCCACACCTCACCACCACGCTCCCACGCCCCCTTCATTCTTTTGTTCAGAAGAAGAACCCACTCCCTGTTGTTTGGCAGTCTCCTGCCCCGAGTAGAGGACTGTCCACCCCTCATGGTGGCAGGAGCCAGAGTCAGTCCACAGGACCTCCTGAATACCACAGAGATCCAGGCGTACCGGTCCAGCTCCCGACAAAGGAGTGTCAGCCTCTCCTCCGTAGTGAGCGATCGAACATTCTACATGGCCATCCGAAGTGGCCTTTTGTTGCTTCTGGAGGAGCCCCGAGGGTAACGATTCAGTCATGAATGCCTGTCCCCCCGGGCCTCCGACACAAGCTTAATAATATTTTTACATCGTAGTTTAGTGGTATATAATTGAAGGTGGAGGGGCTACCAGTTCTTTGCACCAGTCCAGAGCCCCCATTTGGCCGCTGTGGTGGCTACAGACGCCATGAAGGGAAAAGCTAATCTAAAATTGGCCCTCCCACCACGGCACTGCCCACCACAGCGTTGCCGTCCGGCACCACGAGGAGGTAGGAGGCTGTTTTTGCCGGACCACCACCCCCCCACCACCACCACCTGCACCACAGCCACCCCCACCACCACCACCATCCACCTCCACCACCACCACCTGCACCACCCCCACCACCACCTCCACCACAGCCACCCCCACCACCACCACCTCCACCACCACCACCACCACCACAACCACCACCACCACCACCTGCACCACAACCACCCCCACCACCACCACCACCACCCCCACCACCCCCACCACCACCACCACCACCTGCACCACAGCCACCCCCACCACCACCCGCACAGCCACCACCACCTGCACCACATCCACCCCCACCACCACCCCCACCACCTGCACTACAGCCACCTTCACCACCACCCCCACCCCCACCACCCCCACCCCCACCACCCCCACCCCCACCACCCCCACCACCACCCCCAACACCACCCCCACCACCACCTCCACCACCACCACCACCCCCACCACCCCCACCACCACCCCCAACACCACCCCCACCACCACCACCACCACCACCACCACCCCCACCCCCACCACCACCACCACCACACTCACCACCACCACCATCCACCACCACCACCCCCACCCCCACCACCACCACACTCACCATGATGGCACCGTCGCCGCCCCTCATGTCGAGGTAGTCCCGCGACACCAGCCCGACCCTCCCGCGCCCGTCCTGGCAGAGGCACCAGGCCGCAACGACGGACTCCCCCGCCGTGCCGTCGCGGTGACCGACGGCACGTGGCCACCAAGGCTCCCGCTCGGCGCTCGGTGACAGGAGCCGCATCTTCTGCCCGCGCTCGAACGAGAGCCGCTCGTTCAACACCGACACCATCCGGTAGCGGGTGACGGCCTCCCGGTTGCCCGGTGGAGCGCTCATTGCGGACGGGGTCGCTTGCCTGAGCGGGGGGGGGAGGGTTGGCAGAGGTTGAGGGTCGCTCGTGCCAGGCTAGGTGCGTCTGTGAGGTGGTAGTTTTTTCGTAGGTTTTTTCATTTTATTGTTTTTTTGTATTGTGATAAAAACACATTTTTTTATCTTTCCATTTAAAGCTTTCGTGACTGCAGGGATTCATCTTCTTGGTTCTTTCGGTAAAGTCACGTAGAAGGGAAGTAATAAAATAATAAAAATAAAACATAATAAAATAATCGTTTTCACATTTTTTTTATTTAAATTTTTTTTTTTAATCGTCAAGTTTCAAGGCGCCTCCTATTAGCACGGTTGGCTACGTACGGTGCGAATGAAGTCCACCATGCATACAACGCCTCGCTGGTAGGAGGAGGTCACGTGATAGATCTGAGCGCTGTGCTGTGCCAGGCTAGGTGCAGGAGGTCACGTGACAGACGCAGGTGCCATGGGTTGACTGACCGAGATGATTGTCCAATACACGACTGCGACACCTCGCTGCGTTACTACAACAACAACAACGAAATAAACAATACTCGCAAACAGCGCCGATATGAGTGCAAATTAGAGTGAAATGTAGACAAAGGGGCTTCGAAAGTAAACGGATGAAGCGAAAGTAATCATTTGTTAGCTTTCCAGGTTAAGCCCCGCTCGCCTATTAACTGTTTTGTTTATCGGCGAACTGGCCATCAATAAGTATAACCCGTAAAAACAAAGTTTTTCACTATAAATCCTTTATATGCGTGGCGGCTAGAGTCATCTCGTCCTCTGGCTTGAGATGGCTGCCACCTATGGGTCAGATGATTGTCTGCCAGTATTAAGCAATTGGTAATTAAATATTTAATTTGTTTTCCCTAAACAGTGTAAAATTTTGGAGAAAAAAAATTCACGAACATTAATTGTCTCGCACAACGAGTCTGTGTGGAAAATGTCAGCTCGATTGGATCACAGGAAGTGGGTTAAAAAACGACCGAAAGATTTGCACGGTCGTAAGCAAGCAAGCAAGCACGCAAGCACGCAAGCAAGCAAGCGAACTTAATATAAAGGATTTAAAAATGATGGGCTCTGACAAGTGGGGGCTTTTCATCATCATCATCAAATTGTGGACATTTGTAGCAGCTGCAGCCAAATAACTCCGAACGCGCGTTCGAGTTAATTCCAAATGTGGAGGGGGTGGGGGGAAACGGAAGCACCGGAGACGATAATCCCCGCTGTGATCACCACAAGGAGAGAGAGAAAGACGCAGACTCCAATAATACTGGTCAACACACTTATTCTGGCATAAGGTATTCCAACGGTTTCAATGTAATTTTGGTGTGCTGATTTCAAATCTGGCATCAGTTTTTGTCTATCACATCAGGTTTTTGAGATATCAAATATTGCATTTTCAATAAAAACTGCGGAAGAAAAATATTAAATAAATGTGGATATCTACATAAAATGAAATTATAAACACACTATCCTAAAAATATAGCACCATATTTGAACACTAAAGCAGTCACTGACTCGCAACAACTTGCAATCATAAGTGACAGAGTTAATTTCGGGTAAAATCAATAAAAATGGGGTATGCCGATAGCATAAAATGAGATGTGATAGAGCAAATCTGAGATCAGATTTGGAATCAGCACCCTGAAATTAGTCTAAACCCGCTGCCAAAGTCCAGGCCAAAAAAAAAATGTTTTTTTTGTTGTTGACCAGTGTTATACAGCAGGGTCGGGATGGAACCCACGACCTCCTGTATACCAGGGGAGGTAGTTAACATCTCGCTACGAGAGAGATAGAGACACACACAAACAGTCTGCAACTATAGAGCAGGCGATGTTGCTGTCACACCTGAGCTGGTCGTTAGGTCGCTGGTACAAAAAAATAAAGTACCGGGAAAATATTCACCACCAGCACCAACATCAACAACATCCCCACCAACACCACCAACAACATCGCCCCCCCCCACACCACCACCCCCACCACCACCATCCCCAAAACCAACAACAACAACATCCCCAACACCACCACCATCTCCACTGCCACCACCCCCACCACCACCATCTCCACCACCATTACCCTCCCCACCACCACCACCACCACCACCCCCACCAACAACATCCCCACCACCACCATCCCCAGCACCCTCACTACCACCACCGCCATCCCCACCACCACCACCCCCACCATCCCCACCACCCTCACCACCCTCACCACCACCATCCCCACCACCTCACCACCACCCTCACCACCACCGTCACCACCACCACTACTCCAACCACCACCCCCACCACCACCATCACCACCCTCACCACCACCACCCCCACCACCACCCCCACCGCCCCCACCGCCACCACCACCCCCTTCATCCCCACCACCACCTTCACCGTCACCACCACCACCGCCCCCACCCCCACCCCTACCACCACCCCCACCACCGCCCCCACCCCAATCACCACCACCTTCATCCTCACCACCACCACCACCACCGCCCCCACCACCACAACCCCCACCACCACCCACCACCCCCACCACCACCCCCACCACCACCGCCCCCACCCCCACCACCACCCCCACCACCACCACCCCCACCACCACCCACCACCACCACCCGCATGTGTAACCTTCACAGGGCGCTGGGGACACGTGCTGGTACGTGAACGTTAACGCATGCGACCCGTACAGGACCACTCGACACAAACACACAAACACTCTCCTATCGCAGATACATGCCTGTATTTGCATAAAGGATGGCCGGACTAAAAAACCGGTTTGATAGCGGCATGCAAATGTCTGGAACGGTGAACTGGAAGACCCAGAAACTCACACAGAGACCCATAGACACACAGACACAGAGACTAACACAGAGACCCATAGACTAACAACAGAGACCCATAAACTCACACAGAGACCCATAGACTCACACAGAGACCCATAGACTAACACAGAGACCCATAGACTAACACAGAGACCCATAAACTCACACAGAGACCCATAGACTCACACAGAGACCCATAGACTCACACAGAGACCCATAGACTCACACAGAGACCCATAGACTCGCACAGGGACCCATAGACTCACACAGAGACCCATAGACTCGCACAGGGACCCATAAACTCACACAGAGACCCATAGACTCGCACAGAGACCCATAGACTCACACAGAGACCCATAGACTCGCACAGGGACCCATAAACTCACACAGAGACCCATAGACTCGCACAGGGACCCATAGACTCACACAGAGACCCATAGACTCGCACAGAGACCAATAGACTCACACAGAGACCCAATAGACTCGCACAGGGACCCATAGACTCACACAGAGACCCATAGACTCGTACAGAGACCCATAGACTCGCACAGAGACCCATAGACTCGCACAGAGACCCATAGACTCACACAGAGACCCATAGACTCGCACAGAGACCCATAGACTCGTATAGAGACCCATAGACTCGCACAGAGACACATAGACTCGCACAGAGACCCATCGACTCGCACAGAGACCCATAGACTCACACAGGGACCCATAAACTCACACAGAGACCCATAGACTCGCACAGAGACCCATAGACTCGCACAGAGACCCATAGACTCACACAGAGACCCATAGACTCGCACAGAGACCCATAGACTCACACAGAGACCCATAGACTAACACAGAGACCCATAGACTCACACAGAGACCCATAGACTAACACAAAGACCCATAGACTCACACAGAGACCCATAGACTCGCACAGAGACCCATAGACTCGCACAGAGGCCCATAGACTCGCACAGAGACCCATAGACTCACACAGAGACCCACAGACTCACACAGAGACCCACAGACTCACACAGAGACCCACAGACTCACACAGAGACCCACAGACTCACACAGAGACCCACAGACTCGCACAGGGACCCATAGACTCACACAGAGACCCATAGACTCGCACAGAGACCCATAGACTCGCACAGAGACCCATAGACTCGCACAGAGACCCATAGACTCACACAGAGACCCATAGACTCGCACAGAGACCCATAGACTCGTATAGAGACCCATAGACTCGCACAGAGACACATAGACTCGCACAAAGACCCATCGACTCGCACAGAGACCCATAGACTCACACAGGGACCCATAAACTCACACAGAGACCCATAGACTCGCACAGAGACCCATAGACTCGCACAGAGACCCATAGACTCACACAGAGACCCATATACTCACACAGATACCCATAGACTCACACAGATACCCATAGATTCACACAGAGACCCATAGACTCGCACAGAGTCCCATAGACTCACACAGAGACCCACATACTCGCACAGAGACCCATAGACTCACACAGAGAGCCACAGACTCACACAGAGACCCACAGACTCACACAGAGACCCACAGACTCACACAGAGACCCACAGACTCGCACAGGGACCCATAGACTCACACAGAGACCCATAGACTCGCACAGAGACCCATAGACTCGCACAGAGACCCATAGACTCGCACAGAGACCCATAGACTCACACAGAGACCCATAGACTCGTATAGAGACCCATAGACTCGCACAGAGACACATAGACTCGCACAGAGACCCATAGACTCGCACAGAGACCCATAGACTCGCACAGAGACCCATAGACTCGTATAGAGACCCATAGACTCGCACAGAGACACATAGACTCGCACAGAGACCCATCGACTCGCACAGAGACCCATAGACTCACACAGGGACCTATAAACTCACACAGAGACCCATAGTCTCGCACAGAGACCCATAGACTCGCACAGAGACCCATAGACTCACACAGAGACCCATATACTCACACAGATACCCATAGACTCACACAGATACCCATAGATTCACACAGAGACCCATAGACTCGCACAGAGTCCCATAGACTCACACAGAGACCCACATACTCGCACAGAGACCCATAGACTCACACAGAGAGCCACAGACTCACACAGAGACCCACAGACTCACACAGAGACCCACAGACTCACACAGAGACCCACAGACTCGCACAGAGACGCATAAACTCGCACAGAGACCCATAGACTCGCACAGAGACCCATAGACTCGCACAGAGACCCATAGACTCACACAGAGACCCATATACTCATACAGAGACCCACAGACTCGCACAGAGACCCACAGACTCACACAGAGACCCACAGACTCACACAGAGACCCACAGACTCACACAGAGACCCACAGACTCGCACAGGGACCCATAGACTCACACAGAGACCCATAGACTCGCACAGAGACCCATAGACTCGCACAGAGACCCATAGACTCGCACAGAGACCCATAGACTCACACAGAGACCCATAGACTCGCACAGAGACCCATAGACTCGTATAGAGACCCATAGACTCGCACAGAGACACATAGACTCGCACAAAGACCCATCGACTCGCACAGAGACCCATAGACTCACACAGGGACCCATAAACTCACACAGAGACCCATAGACTCGCACAGAGACCCATAGACTCGCACAGAGACCCATAGACTCACACAGAGACCCATATACTCACACAGATACCCATAGACTCACACAGATACCCATAGATTCACACAGAGACCCATAGACTCGCACAGAGTCCCATAGACTCACACAGAGACCCACATACTCGCACAGAGACCCATAGACTCACACAGAGAGCCACAGACTCACACAGAGACCCACAGACTCACACAGAGACCCACAGACTCACACAGAGACCCACAGACTCGCACAGGGACCCATAGACTCACACAGAGACCCATAGACTCGCACAGAGACCCATAGACTCGCACAGAGACCCATAGACTCGCACAGAGACCCATAGACTCACACAGAGACCCATAGACTCGTATAGAGACCCATAGACTCGCACAGAGACACATAGACTCGCACAGAGACCCATAGACTCGCACAGAGACCCATAGACTCGCACAGAGACCCATAGACTCGTATAGAGACCCATAGACTCGCACAGAGACACATAGACTCGCACAGAGACCCATCGACTCGCACAGAGACCCATAGACTCACACAGGGACCTATAAACTCACACAGAGACCCATAGTCTCGCACAGAGACCCATAGACTCGCACAGAGACCCATAGACTCACACAGAGACCCATATACTCACACAGATACCCATAGACTCACACAGATACCCATAGATTCACACAGAGACCCATAGACTCGCACAGAGTCCCATAGACTCACACAGAGACCCACATACTCGCACAGAGACCCATAGACTCACACAGAGAGCCACAGACTCACACAGAGACCCACAGACTCACACAGAGACCCACAGACTCACACAGAGACCCACAGACTCGCACAGAGACGCATAAACTCGCACAGAGACCCATAGACTCGCACAGAGACCCATAGACTCGCACAGAGACCCATAGACTCACACAGAGACCCATATACTCACACAGAGACCCACAGACTCGCACAGAGACCCACAGACTCACACAGAGACCCACAGACTCACACAGAGACCCACAGACTCACACAGAGACCCATAGACTCGCACAGAGACCCACAGACTCACACAGAGACCCACAGACTCACACAGAGACCCACAGACTCGCACAGAGACGCATAAACTCGCACA